GTGCACATGGTTGCCAGGTTGACAAAAACAAGTAACACACTTAGCAGATATTTCCTTATTGCGCAAGTGGGAAGCTCTGTTTCGGGGATTACGTCTCTTTATATCAGGCAACCCCGGTTGTGTTCCTCTGTCTGCGGCCAGATAAACCTGGTTGTAGCTTATATATTATGCTCTATTCATTATTTTTTTTAGAAACCTTGCCCTTTTCTACTCCGTTTTAAACGCTGCTCTTGTATTTAAATTAAGCGTGGTCCACTGCAGCACACGTGCCGCGATATCGATACAGGGACAGCTGTATCGATATTCGTATTGTCAAATCTCTGTGACGATACATCGCCGTATCGATGTATGGAACACAGCACTACTGTTTATCTTTTTCCTGTTTAAAAAACAGTTTAAATCCAACTAGTTTTTTTTTTCTGGTCTACACTTTTATAAATAAACCCAGCTAACAGAGAACATTCTCAGAACTTTGGCTAAAGTTCTGCCAAGGTTCTCTCAAAGTCATAAACCAATGTTCTTCCAGTAACAATGATAGAATGTTTGTTAAAAGTTATTTATAAATCATTAATGGAACTTTTTTTCCTGAAACGTTTGACTAACGGTTTTTAAATGTAACTTCTTGTTTTAGAATGTTGAGAGAACATCCAAAAGTAACATTCCATTAATGTTTGAAAAATGATCAAATGGAATGTTTACTTAATGTTCATATATAACCAAGAAAAAGTTTTTAAAACATTTTGAACATTCAGAGAACATTCAGAAATAACGTTAGCAAAACATTAATTGAACATATTTTGTTAGTTGGGAAGATTTTAAAAGGGGGTTTTCGCAGCGATGCCATAAAAGAACCATTTTTGGTTCTTCAAAGAACCTTTCAGGGAACAGTTCCTAAAGGAACCATTTTTTTCTTACAATGAAGGACATCTTTCCACAGGTTTCCACTAAAAATAACCTTTTTGGAATGAAAAATTTCCTTGGATGTTAAAGGTTCTTCACGGAACCATCAATGCCAATAAAGAACCTTTATTTTTTTAGTAGCAATATATTAATCACTATTGTCAATCATTGACATGACAAACTGCTAACATTATTGCCGATTCATGAAATCCATGCTGTTTAGTTAACCTCCAAAACTAAGTTTCCATGTTTGAAATTCTGTTTCTTTGTGTGCAGCTGCAGTCCATGGTGGACCTTCTGGAAGGTACTCTCTTCAGTATGGACCTTCTCAAAGTTCACTCGTACATCAATAAGGTGGTGTCTCAAATGAATAACCTAGAGGAGGTGAGCGTGATAGTACTACTGAGTGTGTGTGAACATACACATGTGAACATTAATGAGCCGTGGCTGGATTTAACTGGACTCAGGACATTCTGTAGCTACCCACAATGCTCTGGCTAAAGTTATTATCCGTTATACCGCTCCACTTTGGCTTGAGGGATGGGAAAATAATGTGCGTGTAAGAAAGAGCAGGACAGAGAGAGGAAATGTCCAAAGGACAAAACCACAGTCATGTAATAGTCACACTTATGCACTCTGTTTTTATTTCCAATTAAATTTTGCTCATTATCGGGTAAAGCTGGGCTAGAAATCTGCACCGCGAAAGATTTACTGCATGTACAATGTGGGTCATTATCAAATACCTTAGTTATATAGTCTAAGACCAATAGTGAAAATGCTTCCGTTTTGCATTTCTGGGATTAGTAAGATAATTTTGTTTATGAAAGAAATTAATAGTTTTATTCAGAAAGAAGGCATTGAATAGTCCAAAAGTCAAAGTAAAGAAAGTAAAGACATTTATAATGTCACAAAAGATGTTATTTCAAATAAATGCTGTTCTTTCAGAATCCTGAAACAAAATGTATCACATTATCATCATTTGTATAAAATTTTCCTTAAAAATATTAAGCAGCACAACTGTAAATGTTTTTGAGCAGCAAATCAGCATATTAGAATGATTTCTGAAGGATCATGTGACACAGAAGACTGGAGTAATGATGCTGAAAATTCAGCTTTGCATCACAAGAATAAATTACATTTTAGGATATATTACAATAGAAAACAATTACTTTAAATTGCAATATGTAAAACCTCAAAGACCCCAAACTTTTCAATGGTAGTGTATTACATTGTATTATCAGCATAAAAAGTTGAATTGAAAGATGAACATTTAAGTTTTATGCAGATGCATTTAATTATACAAATATATTTAGATGTGGGTGCATTTGTTTGTACAAATATATTTAGGGCAATTGTGTGATTTAAAGCTGTGCATCTCACCCAGATGATAAAGATGAACCTCTCTCGGGAGAATGACTTTGTGAGAGACAGTGTGGCGACTCTGACCAATCAGCTACGGCAGTACGAGAACCATTCTGACGTCATGATGAGCATAAAGAAAGAGCTGTCCAATCTGGGCCTACAGCTGCTGCAGAAAGACTCCACCGCCTCGGGCCCTAAAAGCAAAGTTCAGGTAAGGGTCGTGACCTTTCATCTCTGACTTTAGCCATTTGAATAGATTGTGTTAAAAAGATAAACATTATTGTTCTAGTTAATTTGCTATGCAGGAAATCAAATTTGAGCTCACTGCAGAATGTGCTCTGGTAGTATATAGAAATTATGCATACTGTGTGCATTTGTAAAATGAGACATACTTATATAATTGGCAGCGGCCAACTAGCGATAGAGGCTATTTACACTAAGTGTAATTAAATGCTATTTACACTAAGAGCAAATAGCGATGGATTCTATTTACACTAAGAGAAAATAGCAGTATTTTTTAGTGATATGCTATTTACACTAAGTGCAAATAGCTATATATTCTATTTACACTATGTTAAAATAGCAGTCTATTTATGCTACTTATTGTGAATAGAGGCAATTATTTGCACCTCAGTATTGTAGTACAGTATGCAATAATAACGTACTGAGTGTAAATTATAATGCTAATTCAAATTATTAAATGCATGCCACCTTATTGGGACAATAAAGCCCTCCCTACACCTACCCGATACTTTTTTTTTCAACTTTATGATTATTTCCTTCATTTTTATTGAAAATTAATTTTCGATTTATTGCGATGTGTGATATGAGATTTGAAAAGGGAGAAAAAAATAGTTCGGCAAAAGGCGGATTTGAACCCAGAGTCGATCGCGTCAAAAAGACTACGGTACGTGATTTAACATGTACGCCACTGGAGCTGAGGTTTGACGGCCATATTTTGTAGTGTTGAGTACCCCAATCACACGTTGGTGGGTGGAGTTAGTGTAAAATACCCTGTGCCAATAAGGCAGGCTATTTGCACTTAGTAAAAATGGACACTCCGTATATGATTACATACATTATATGTAAGTGTTCATGGAGTTTTCAGGATGAGATCTCTAACATCTGTTGAGCTAGACATGTGTTATGTTTGTAGGACACACTGGGGACAAATATCAAAGATGCTTCAAAGTTTCCAGCAAAGAAACCAGAAAAAGGGAAACCTCCACCAAAGCCAGTGAAGGAAAAGCCGGCCAAGCCGAAGAAAGAGACCACAAAACCAAACAAACCTGGTAAACCAGAGCAAACAGAACTGCCCAGTAAAACCAAACCTTCACAGAACCAACCAGGACTTATCCGAGGAATCACATACTATAAAGCCACCAAAACTGATGAGACAGGCAACCAAAAAGGTAAGACACAGCCAATAATTTTCTATATATACAAACCGAACCGGCATTTATTAAATACATTATAATTCTTTGAGATACTAGCAGATTTAGTCAGATTGTGGGGACAGATGTTCACCAGTTTTGCCCACAAAAGTTTAAATATGTCACACACCCAGAAACACACATTCTTATAAAGACAAACTTGTTTCCTTTGTGCTCCCCAGAAGCACAGCTGCTTGTATCCACGCCAATCCAGACACACGCTTAATTCGATATTAGCACAGACACACTCTCATAACCCAAAACACATGTGCACACATTCATATCCACACAGTCAATAAACTAATAGACAATAAACTAACAGACAATAAACCACTTCATCTGTTGAAAATGCGAACGTTTTCTGGTAGTAAGACAAGGATCTGGTCTGGCAAACAATTATTAATATGGGGACTCATGCACACACACACACACACAAACCTGTCCATTTGTTATCAAATGTAAGTATATAGTTCAGAGCAGAATAAATTGTGAAATGAACTCTCTGTATCATATGGAAGCTTATTTCCACCACAGAATAACCTTTTGTCTCACAATTCAGACATTTTTTTCCTTGCAATTCTTATAGTTTATATCTCACAATTCATTGTTTTTATTTATATATAAATTATAAAGAAGTGTAAGACATAAACCTGCAACTCTGAGAAGAAAAGTCTGAATTATGAGATAAAAAGCCACAATTATATTTTAATTTTTTTATTCTGTGGTGGAAATAAAAGAAAAACAGAATTGTGAGATGTAAAGTTAGAATTCAGATAAAAAAATGTAAAAAATATGAGATGTTAAGGAAAAAAGTCAGTATTGCAAGATGTAAACTCTTACAGTTGCAAGATATAAACTCATAATTCTCAGAAAAATGTCAGAATTGTGAGATATTACCTCGCAATTGTGAGAAAAAAATTGTTACATTTTTATTCCAAGATGGAAATAAGCTTCCATAGTTCCATAAGCTTTCATAATACCCACAACAACACATAGACACTTTTCCACACGCAAATCTGCCAGGTGAGCTGAAGAAACTTGAAATATTACACATTACACACACATATACACTTTGCTATTTAATACCCTTGATGTGTGTTGATTTTATAAAAAGCTAATTATAAATATTACCAGTGCTAATTCTAACCCTAAAATAAAACTTGACCTGATCACCAAAACAACTGCATCTACCGTTTCAAATTACGTTATTTTGATTCAGTTTCCCAAATGAGGAAGTCCTTGAATGTCCTCAAAGGGAGGTTTTTGGATTTCTGTCTCTTTTGGGATATTTTTGGCCCTAAACTATAGCCGAGTACACACACACTGAAGTCTCACATGATGAACATCTCACAGTAAAACTGGATCTCAGGATCTTGGGACTTGATGATCCAGCACTCACATTAACGGGATACTAGTGGAGGACGCCAGCCAGAGAGTGACTTTAGAGTATGAAATGACAGCCGACATGCACTAATGAATTAGCTTCAGTTTCTGATGCACGCATGACATTCATATCGGCTGCAGGGTTTCTACAAAAAACAGCCAAATGTCTCCAATTCAACAGTGTTTCTATTCATTTTGGGCAGGCGGCCTCACTTCCTGTTTAAGTCCTAGATGGGTTCCTCTTGCCTGACGGACTCCATGGTTACCGCCGTTTGTGATTGCGGCAACACTGTTTTTTTTTTCTCTTTGAATTATACAATAAGTGTTCTGAAAGCAGCCCAATCAATGGCGTCTATAGTGACATGTAATGCGGTCTGATCTAATCTTGTGTTATCCATAGGCGTAACCAAATCGCTGCTTCCCAAATTGGGTCCTGACTATTTTGGTGCACGTTAGATACAATCACAGGGAATCTGATTAAAGCATAAATTACTGTAAACGAATGGCCCTTAGATTAATCCGTACACTAGCACTTTGGAAACGTCTCACATTGCAGTTTTGGTTTGCAGATAAAAACCCAAAATAAGGTTGAGTTGTAAGTAATGTGCCACTGTGCCAATCTTCAAATCTGTAGGTTTTATTCTGCATACCATTTAAAGTTGGATGTTGGATATTTAACAATATAAAAAGACATTTGGGGATAAAATGTCAAATTAAGAACAGTGCATAGAGTTCTAGAGACGCTGTGTAAAGACACTTTTGATTTGCAGGTGTATGATTATCAAAATAGGATCACATAGAGTTTTAATGCACTTCTCTGCAAATGTTTGCTTAAAATGTTTAATTGTCATGTGATTTAGTCAAGTGATAATGCATTTTATTTGCATGATGTTGAAAATCAGAGCACAGCTTTTGTGTTGGTATTGGTTTCCATGCAATTCAACAATATGACAATTCAATAGTATGAAAAACATGTCAGAGTCATGTAAAAGCAAAAAACCTCTATTGCAGCTTGTCAGACTAAAACAATAAAAAAGATGTGAGATTATGAACCCCGGTTGTGTTTACCCACATCTTTTTGTTTAAAATTAGCTGCAAAGACACACACACACACACACAAAAACAAACTTTTATGTTTATTTATTTTTGATATCACTACTACAGTGACTATTTGCACACTGAGGTGCAAATATCTACAACTTAGTGTAAATAGTACATTATTTGCACTTAGTGTAAGTGTAGATAATATTTATCACCATTTGTACGATTTATGTCTGGTTCTCAAACCTTGGTAAAAGGTAAAATGGGTTTTCAAACTCTTATCAGGAACAGCAGACTACAGTAATCGAGATCCAAAAAACTAACAACCGAAAACACAATATCACAGACTTTTTGCAAATTCTCTGTGGGTGATTTTGAGTGCATTTTGAGTCTTAAATTTGACAAGTCCTTATGCATTTCATGTTTTAGCCTTTAACAAGCTACAATAAAGGTGTTCTGTTTCTGTTCTGTTTACTGGACTCTTTGCTGTTTTTCAAAGTGTTGGTTTTTGATTCATTCAATGGTGAGTCAATCTGACCCCAACATAACTGATGTTACCAAATTTGTACATCCTTTCCTAAACACATCTATGTGTTGAAACTTTGCATGCACATTCATGACCTTAAATGAGAAAGTTAAAAAATTTCAAGAAAGAAAAAAACCCAGTTATTTTAATCAGTGTCTTAAGCAATTAAAAAATCCAATGTGGGTTAAATTGATTGTATATTTCCAAGTTGTAATTTCTGACTTTCCAAACTGAATGTACTGTAACACAGCATTAGATGCTATTTTTTATTTGACTTACTTGATGAATGTCAACAAGTGTGTAAGGAACACTTCCTTTTTGAATCATTATCATTTTTTTTATATTTAATGTTCTTTGGCACTTTTTCGAAACATTGGAGTATGTTTGTAGCAATGCCAATGTCATGGTTTTGATTCCCAGGGAATGCATAAAATTCGCTAAATGGATCTCTATCTGTATTTAGATCTTAGGTCACTTCTAATTTTCATAACCTATGCTTTATATCCACTGAAGTTTCTGATGCACGCATGACATTCATATCGGCTGCAGGGTTTCTACAAAAAACAGCCAAATGTCTCCAATTCAACAGTGTTTCTATTCATTTTGGGCAGGCGGCCTCACTTCCTGTTTAAGTCCTAGATGGGTTCCTCTTGCCTGACGGACTCCATGGTTACCGCCGTTTGTGATTGCGGCAACACTGTTTTTTTTTTCTCTTTGAATTATACAATAAGTGTTCTGAAAGCAGCCCAATCAATGGCGTCTATAGTGACATGTAATGCGGTCTGATCTAATCTTGTGTTATCCATAGGCGTAACCAAATCGCTGCTTCCCAAATTGGGTCCTGACTATTTTGGTGCACGTTAGATACAATCACAGGGAATCTGATTAAAGCATAAATTACTGTAAACGAATGGCCCTTAGATTAATCCGTACACTAGCACTTTGGAAACGTCTCACATTGCAGTTTTGGTTTGCAGATAAAAACCCAAAATAAGGTTGAGTTGTAAGTAATGTGCCACTGTGCCAATCTTCAAATCTGTAGGTTTTATTCTGCATACCATTTAAAGTTGGATGTTGGATATTTAACAATATAAAAAGACATTTGGGGATAAAATGTCAAATTAAGAACAGTGCATAGAGTTCTAGAGACGCTGTGTAAAGACACTTTTGATTTGCAGGTGTATGATTATCAAAATAGGATCACATAGAGTTTTAATGCACTTCTCTGCAAATGTTTGCTTAAAATGTTTAATTGTCATGTGATTTAGTCAAGTGATAATGCATTTTATTTGCATGATGTTGAAAATCAGAGCACAGCTTTTGTGTTGGTATTGGTTTCCATGCAATTCAACAATATGACAATTCAATAGTATGAAAAACATGTCAGAGTCATGTAAAAGCAAAAAACCTCTATTGCAGCTTGTCAGACTAAAACAATAAAAAAGATGTGAGATTATGAACCCCGGTTGTGTTTACCCACATCTTTTTGTTTAAAATTAGCTGCAAAGACACACACACACACACACAAAAACAAACTTTTATGTTTATTTATTTTTGATATCACTACTACAGTGACTATTTGCACACTGAGGTGCAAATATCTACAACTTAGTGTAAATAGTACAGTATTTGCACTTAGTGTAACTGTAGATAATATTTATCACCATTTGTACGATTTATGTCTGGTTCTCAAACCCTTGGTAAAAGGTAAAATGGGTTTTCAAACTCTTTATCAGGAACAGCAGACTACAGTAATCGAGATCCAAAAAACTAACAACCGAAAACACAATTTCACAGACTTTTTGCAAATTCTCTGTGGGTGATTTTGAGTGCATTTTGAGTCTTAAATTTGACAAGTCCTTATGCGTTTCATGTTTTAGCCTTTAACAAGCTACAATAAAGGTGTTCTGTTTCTGTTCTGTTTACTGGACTCTTTGCTGTTTTTCAAAGTGTTGGTTTTTGATTCATTCAATGGTGAGTCAATCTGACCCCAACATAACTGATGTTACCAAATTTGTACATCCTTTCCTAAACACATCTATGTGTTGAAACTTTGCATGCACATTCATGACCTTAAATGAGAAAGTTAAAAAATTTCAAGAAAGAAAAAAACCCAGTTATTTTAATCAGTGTCTTAAGCAATTAAAAAATCCAATGTGGGTTAAATTGATTGTATATTTCCAAGTTGTAATTTCTGACTTTCCAAACTGAATGTACTGTAACACAGCATTAGACGCTATTTTTTATTTGACTTACTTGATGAATGTCAACAAGTGTGTAAGGAACACTTCCTGTGATCTAATGTACAGTAATCGAATCCAGTCTCTCGTAAATATAGCTTTCCCACAATCCCGTGCCACCCCAGCAGGTGCACTACCACAGTAAATATGACCAACCCTGGTGAGATCGAGCGTGTTATATGCTAAACATGAGAAACCAGTTGTGTTCATACTGTTGTGGAGAGCAGTTTGGCAAAATACTCACTCGAACGTCAACTTATAAATACTTTGTTTTTAGATGCAAGTCATCTTGTCCTGGAAGTGTTGAGTAATTGGTGTAGAAACGGATTTAAAACTCAAACTTTGACATGTCAACAAGTTTTATTGGCATTACAATGTTTCCAGAGACTTCATGTACCCACACAGAGCAGGTGTAGGAAATAAATAGGTCTGTGCTTGGCTCTTGTCTATTATTTCAGAATTTGTCAAGTCATATGCAATACCGGTCAAAAGTTTGGAATAATTACGATTTTTTTGTAAGAAGTCTCTTATGCTCACCAAGGCTGCATTTATTTGATAAAAACACATCTATGTGTTGAAACTTTGCATGCACATTCATGACCTTAAATGAGAAAGTTAAAAAATTTCAAGAAAGAAAAAAACCCAGTTATTTTAATCAGTGTCTTAAGCAATTAAAAAATCCAATGTGGGTTAAATTGATTGTATATTTCCAAGTTGTAATTTCTGACTTTCCAAACTGAATGTACTGTAACACAGCATTAGATGCTATTTTTTATTTGACTTACTTGATGAATGTCAACAAGTGTGTAAGGAACACTTCCTTTTTGAATCATTATCATTTTTTTTATATTTAATGTTCTTTGGCACTTTTTCGAAACATTGGAGTATGTTTGTAGCAATGCCAATGTCATGGTTTTGATTCCCAGGGAATGCATAAAATTCGCTAAATGGATCTCTATCTGTATTTAGATCTTAGGTCACTTCTAATTTTCATAACCTATGCTTTATATCCACTGAATGTTTATTGTCAGCTAAAATTGTAAAAAAAAAAAAATTGTGTTTCGTCAGTTAAAACAAACTGTACCTCAGAAGCCTTGTCTTTGTTCACGTCAAATTGAATATGACATCTCCTCAGACTAAGGTCTATTTAACTTTGTTAGCGTGTCTTGGCCATTGGGCTGGATTTGTTTGACTGGTTTAAGATAATGTATACCAGAGCTGTGATGGAGATTCAGTATGATCTGTCCTGACAGGAATGCAAAGCCATACAAAAGCCGGCGGACCAAGCGTAAGTCAAGTAAATATGTTCTAATAAACATAAATTACTTTTACTATTAAATGCGATTTATTTTCGTCGTCCCACCCTGTGATCTAATGTACAGTAATCGAATCCAGTCTCTCGTAAATATAGCTTTCCCACAATCCCGTGCCACCCCAGCAGGTGCACTACCACAGTAAATATGACCAACCCTGGTGAGATCGAGCGTGTTATATGCTAAACATGAGAAACCAGTTGTGTTCATACTGTTGTGGAGAGCAGTTTGGCAAAATACTCACTCGAACGTCAACTTATAAATACTTTGTTTTTAGATGCAAGTCATCTTGTCCTGGAAGTGTTGAGTAATTGGTGTAGAAACGGATTTAAAACTCAAACTTTGACATGTCAACAAGTTTTATTGGCATTACAATGTTTCCAGAGACTTCATGTACCCACACAGAGCAGGTGTAGGAAATAAATAGGTCTGTGCTTGGCTCTTGTCTATTATTTCAGAATTTGTCAAGTCATATGCAATACCGGTCAAAAGTTTGGAATAATTACGATTTTTTTGTAAGAAGTCTCTTATGCTCACCAAGGCTGCGTTTATTTGATAAAAAAATACAGTAAAAAACAATGATATTTGAAAATATTTTTACAATTTAAAATAACTGTTTTCTATTTGAGTATATGTAATTTATTTTTGTGATGCAATGCTGAATTTCCAGCGTCATTATACTCCAGTCTTCAGTGTCACATGATCCTTCAGAAATCATTCTAATATGCTGATTTGCTACTCAAAAAACATTTCTTATTATGAATGTTGAAACTGTTTGCTGCTCAGTTTCTGTTTTCAGTGTTTAATTTAAGTGTGAAATGTGAGGCGATTTTAATTACTCTCTGTTTTTGTTTCATATGAAGAGAGACCTGATGAAACGGACACGTTGCTTGAGGTAGAGGTAGAGGAAGAGGAAAGTACCATATTTCCTGACACCTTAGCAACAGAGACAACCCCGGCAACTGTACCCATGACAATAACAACAACCACTCCTCCCACAACAACAACAACAACAACCCAGAGGACGACAACAACTAGCAGAACAATATACAGAGAGGAGCGACCGGCTCCAACCATTGCACTAGTGCTGGACAACACCAGCAACAACTCATACATCGCAGGTACGGTAGATTTCAACACAATCTTATGATAATTCATAAATATTTAATGTTTTGTTAAATCGATGGCTAATTCGGTTGAATTTATCTCATTCCTAAGTTTTCACATGATCTGATTATGCCGTTACGCATAAAAATTGTCTAAAAATTCATATGCAATCAACACCTTCTAAAATAGTTATGTTTTCCTGTGAGATTGGATTGTATATTTACAGTGAAAGACATTTAATAAAAAAGTAGCACTACAAAAATTATCCTAAACTAAAACCGAGACAAAAAAAATATTAGTTTAAAAACATTGTAAACTGAAATGAAACAATGCAAAGTAAATGTAACTAAAACTAAACTTTGAATAAAAATTAGCAAATTAAAATTCTTCATCCAATCGATGTAGTTGCATCCTGGTGCAGTTGTTGATGTTTTTTGGCAGTTAAAGAGCACAGCTGTGAAGGGACGCTGGCCTCCGTTGATCTGCCGGTCAAACAGCACAGTTACGGGAGAAATGAGGGCGCATGGATGAAGGATCCCGCCACCAAGGACTCCAAAATCTACGTCACCAACTATTACTACGGCAACAACCTTGTGGAGTTCCGGAACTTGGACAACTTTAAACAGGGTGTGTAAGATAATTCATACTTAATGCTGTTATTATTAATTGAATGCAGCTGTCTAGAGACACTATGAAAGACAACTGAGGTAATACCTTTTGTGTGACTAAGGTCAATTCACAGAGGACACTGAGTGTTTTGAATTAAAAGGTCTTCATATTGTTTTTAGTAAACAATGATAGGGATTTTCTTTGGATGAGGTTTGGATTTCTGAATAACTGTAAGTGTGAATGATGTCAATGTCTGTGCTTGAGAGTGTGTGCTGCTCAGTGAATATGTCTGTGTGTGAGTCTGGCCCTGGAACAGGAGAAAGAGTTTGGAAGATGTTACAGTTGATTTTAGTGTGTGTTTGTGTGCCTGTTTAGACTGGTATTAATATACTTCTAAAAATATTTACTGTTAAAGGGGTCATATACGGTGGCCGTGAAGTGCAAAAAAAATCACAATTCTGAAAACAAAATAACAAATTACAAACGCAAATGCAAGTCTAAAAAACAAAATAACAATTCAGAAAGCACAACAACAATTCAGAAAACATTATAACAAGTCAGAAAACACAATGACAAATTCGAAGACAAAATAACAAGTCAGAAAACACAAAGACAAATCCGAAAACAAATTAACAAATCAGAAAACACAACGAAAATCAGACAAATCGGAAGAGGTAGGTATAGTTTGAGACAGCACCATTGGTTTGGGATTACTCACCGCTGACTGGACGAGACATCTGTCAATCAACATTTTGGGTGGCATTATGCTAATATTTCCACATAGTGATGTAGATATGTGGGGGTGTGTTAGAACGAGCTGTTTTAGATAGGCGTGGCTGACTCTTAACTTTTATAAAGAATATCTCTTTGGATTTGAGACTTTAGTCTTTGCAACTTTACAAATCTTCTTTATGCACCAAGAGCTTGTAACACTCCAAAGAGAAAGGAAAACTTGAAATCGCATCATATGACCCCTTTAAGACAGAGCTAGGGGAGTCATACACTGAATTTTTTAGGGGGCAACAGTGGCAGTTATGGCTCGCTTGGCAAGACAAGCAAGATTACCATAGGGGAAAAAATTGCTTATTTGTATATTTGGAAAACAGCAATAGATAGATAGATAGATAGATAGATAAAAAAAATAAAATCTATCTATCTATGTTGCATTTAAAATCTACTTTTTACATTTAAAATTCCTCCGTTTTGTGGGTTTATGTTAGGGTGAGGTCACATTTACTGTTGTTTTGTGAATTTTGGCATGCAAAATCCAGTTAGTAATCCAATAGTAATCTATGCAACTGGGAGTTTTGCTTGAGGCTGAAACATTTGCCCATTCAGACTTCACAATGGGTTCAAGTTGAGTGACATGGACTGTATCCAATAGAAAACTGCTTGGTTTGAACATGACTTGTTATGCATAGGGTTGCAAAAAAGTAAATTTCGGAAACATTCCAGAAATTTTGGAAACTTTCCAAGATTTTTTTGAATATTCCAGGGATTTTTGGAAATTTACCGGAAATTTTCCACCCCTTTGCAACCCTAGTTATGCATGAGCTGTGCTTTATAAATCCCAACACAATAGAAAATGGACTTTGTTGCCAACGAAAGTTTGTTATTGTGCACATTTTATCCACTTCTCTTTCTTTTCCTGGCAGGCCGTTGGAGTAACCTGTACAAGCTGCCTTATAACTGGATCGGAACAGGTCATGTTGTGTACAGAGGAGGGTTTTACTATAACCGTGCCTTCACAAAGAACATCATCAAATACGACCTCAAGCAACGATTCGTAGCCGCCTGGGCTCAGCTCCACGACGTCGTCTACGAAGACACCACACCTTGGAAGTGGAAAGGCCACTCTGATATCGATTTCGCCGTGGACGAGAACGGACTTTGGGTCATTTACCCGTCTGTTGACGATGACTACGGACAGGCCGAGGTCATTGTAGTCAGTAAACTAGATCCCAATGACCTGTCTGTCAAAAAGGAGACAACATGGAGGACGAGACTGCGAAGAAATTCGTTCGGGAACTGCTTCATAATATGTGGCGTCCTCTACGCGGTGGACATTTACAATCAGCGGGAAGGGGAGGTTTCGTATGCATACGACACGCTCACGGGGGCCGAGGCGTCACCGCGTTTACTGTTCATTAACGAATACGGGTTCACCACACAAGTCGATTACAACCCAAAAGAGAAGGTTCTGTACGCCTGGGACAGTGGACACCAGCTCACCTACAGCATCAACTTTGTAGAGCAAGAAAAGAAATGAAATCAGACTTTAGCAATCTTATTTACTCAAAGCAAAAGCCACTTCCTGATTGTAACTGCCTCATTGGTTCCACTGACAAATGCTCTCTTGAAACGGTTCATTGTCTCCTCATGAATTTTAATAGACATTTGTTTGAGATTATATAAGAACAAAGGGATTACATAACCGCTGCTCTAGAATTCATTACCAAATCTAGAATCCCGTCGAATGAAATCTAAAGGCCTTCTCACATGATTCACGTCAAAATTCCCAATGCATTAAACTCTGTGGAGCGAAGCTACTCCCAGTTTCTTGTTGTGCACAGGTTGACCCATATCAACTTTGACCATTTTGAATTAGCATACAATTACACATCGCTTAAAGTTAACCAATTTCATCTTTCTTTCCACATGCCGCTGACATTTTTAAGCATGTTTATTGGAAAATGTGTATAACGTTCCTTCTTTTTTGCAACTTAAAACAGGACAGGATAGTTTTTTGTATTTGCACATAACACTTGTCCTGACGTCCAATTAAGTTCTAATACGATTCATGTGAAAGGTTCTAAAGTGTTCACAATTGACCCTTTGCAAAGACCTGATGCTGTTGCTACATCCGAGAAGCCATGGCGCTCTCACGCACACATCATGTAGCGCCTTAGTTCAAGTGGCACATGAACCGATCATCTCTTTCTCTTTACTAGTTATAGCATGAAATAAACATAAAAGAACATCAGAAGGTATCTTGTTTCAACCACGGAAAGAATGCACACCATTTTTCAAGTTCAAGTCCACTGACGTTAATCTACTCTCCTGTCTGATTTGTTTGTCGGACAAAAATGGGAGATTCGGCATTATGATTGGGCAGATCACCTGTCAATCAAACTCTCTGCGAAGGGTCAATTACAGCTTCTAGAACTTTGAGTTTATTTTAATCTCTATTAAAAAGCCCTTACAAATGTTTACATAATTTACACTGTCCTAACCAGGCATGCTGTAATAAAGCAACATCAAACAATACAAATAAAAAAACAATAACATTTTTGTATAGAATAATAATTAAATTTAAATAAAATGTAATTAATAAAGAAAAATAATAAATAAAAATTAAATAATACAATGTAATAAATTTTTTTCATGATTGTTTTTATGTAGTAAAAAATATCTAAAAATCTTAAAACATTATAACTTTACTTGAGAAGCATCACTGCATGAAACTTTTTTTATGGATTAGAACTTATCCTGAAATCCTGCTGGTGACAAATGTCTTACGCATCGCTCCTGGTTAGGACATGTGTAAATCATTAAGTTAAGAGTTTCGTGACTTGCTCTTCTTTAACAAAAATAAAAGCTTGTCATGCCAACCACACCAACAGCATAACGTAACCTCATGTTTCATGTACCTGTAATGATATTTTATAAACATAAGCATTCTGAACTGAAGGAAAATTGTTATATGTTTTCACATCAAGAATGTGCCAGAAAATTGTCTTCCAGTGTTTTGGCCCATATAGCCTCAGCGGACTGGTAAAGCATGACATCATAATGGAGAAAGAATGCTTTGTGTGCTAATGAGAGCGTATGATTATGTTTGGGAGTCTCTTTAATGACTGGGCAGGGTTACGTATAGAATGTTTATAACAGGCAGGTCATGCGAGGAAAGCCTGTGTGACGCATGGGTACGGATACATATGCCGTATTATATTTAGAATGTTGTTTTAAAGCAGTTTGTCGTCCTTGTGCTCTCTGTAAATAGCAGAATATTTTTTATTTTGTTTTGACTGAGTTTTACAAACACAATCTTCCCAAGAGGAAGAGATTTCTTTAACTTTGTCAATGCAGCATATGTGATTTTAATAAACTCTTAATTGGATTTTGTTAAATGTGCATTTGGTATTGTGAAATATATTTCTAAACAGATTAAAAAGACTGCTAGGATGGAAGTGGGAGTAGTTTCTGGTTTGTGGGATCGTGTGGGTTTTGTTAAAGAAAGCCTCGAAGAAGGCCATGAAATCAAAATTGACCCCATTTATTCTTTTAAAGGGGTCCTATTATGCTTTTTCACTTTTTGAATTTTAGTCAGTGTGTAGTGTGTATGTTTGGGCATAAAAAAGATCTTCAAACTTACAAATCTCAAAGTCCACTCCAAAGGGAGATATTTCGTTTTTAAAAAATCCCTTTTCAAGAACTACAACCAACGATTCGTTTGGACTACAGCGTTTGTTTTCAGGGTTTTGTGATATCACAAAGCGGCCCATTACATTGAGTGCGGGTGTTTTTATATCACTGTATTTCTGAAGGAAACCGACTGTCTTCAGAAAATTGGATGTCATTTTCATTTAATCTTGCATGTAATGTCTGATAAAGCAGTGTTTTTTTTTTGGGAGCGGAGTGCTGCTTTATGTACAGCCGTTACTGGGGAAACCTTGATCTCTACCACTCCAACAGCGCCTCCTGCTGGCAGAGAATGAGTTTGCATATATATGCCCCCTGGGAAAAACTGGACTATGGTATAAATAAATTCAGTTGTATAACAGTTTCGCTGCAATTCATGTTATAATGTTATAATTAAATAACAATAAAAATAATACATATGTGCTTATCTGTACATAGTAAATGCAGATGTTTTTTAAGCGGTTGTTGACATCCTATCAAAAATGGGATTTAGCCAAAAAAAACAACAACAACAATAACGTTACCACTCTAATATGTCTTGCCATATCCGTGCGTGCAAAGGTTCTGCGCGATCCTCTTGTTCAATATTCTCTGGGTCTGAATCCGGCTCAAATTGATATGTTAATATTGACCGGAGCCCAATCACAATGCACTGGGACAGCTAACCAATCACATCACATTTAGTTTTTCGGAACTAATCGAGCCGTTTGTGCCAGGATGGGGAGAAAGGTATTGTAATAATGTAAATTATGTAAAATAATAATGCGTTTTTAGAACCGCCAAGCATGTTCTAGTACACCCCCAAAACAAATTCAAGACATTGTAAAAGAACATAATAGGACCCCTTTAATGCATGTCACTGGTCTTATTGTGAATGCTTCATCCATGCATTTTTATATTTGTTTTTGACTTTGCAATCTTTAATCAAAATGTAACTTCATTTTCATTTTGTTCATTTTCACAATCCAATCAACAACCTATGGATAAAATCAAGCTTCACTCAGTTTTTTTTTTCGTTTGATAGTTGTTTCACTCTGAATTATGTCACATTACAGCAGTAAAGCCAGTTGCAATTTCCTCTTCATGAATCATAAATATTAGATGAAAAACATCTGCTTAAAAAAACTTGCCTTGCCAATTGGCCAAAATAAAATGAGTTTGAGTTGATGTACTAAAATTACTACAATTAAAAAGGAAATAAAATAAAAATAAAACCCTAATAAAAATGAAAAAAAGCAATCTGCAAACATAATTCACATAATTCATGCAAATAAGTCTTTTATTATTAATATTATAATTTTCACAATCCAATCAACAACCGATGGATAAAATCAAGTCCCACTGTTTTTTCTTCTTTTAGTTGTTTCACTCTGAAAAATGTCACGTTGTGGCGGTAAAGGTGGTTGAAACTTCTGTCTCATGTCTTTTTTAAAAAAATGACAGGCTTTATGATATTTAACAATAACCTGTTACAAAATACTGCATTGGCTTTCAGAATTTTACTAAGGCCGGCAATGAAGGGTGTCACATACAGTGTAAATGTTCTTCATTATGATAATTAGTGTTCCCTTTGACTGCAAACTTGGATCTAATTTGCTTAATTTTCTCCCTGGTGTAATAGTGTTTACAGAAAATAACTGGCTGCACATGGTCAAAATGCAAATATATTTTTTTTGTACTTAATATTTAACAAATTTTTAATAAACAAGAAAATTACTGCTTGATTTTATTCATGCCACAGTTCATGCTGGGAACCCAAGCACCAATATACTGTGGACATCACACTATTACAGGTAATCTGTAAATATACAAGAGATCACAGTAAAGCAAACACAGATAATCATTGTGATTCTACAGATCAATGCTGTTACATCAGTCATTTCCTGAGCCTGTTCACTGTTATATATTGCTGTGAGGAGCTACAGGACTGAATTCAAAGGGTTTGTGTTGCAATGGTTAGTGTTCTTGTCAGTGGATAAATGGTCAGTTAGTGTGTTTTGTTGTTTTTGAGTGGTTTTCTCTCTCTGATGGGCGGTTCTGTGTGGTAGTCCAGCGTTTTTGGCAGCAGTCGCGTCTGTAAATCATTTAGATTAACTCTGCGGAACACAAGAGGAGTTCGTTTTAATAACTGTGGAGTGATGTTATGGAGAACGAAACTGTAAAATCTGTAATCTGCAATTAATCAAACTTCCAATGGAGAGAATCAGGCAGCGGATGAGAGACGTGACTGAAAGCACTTTATGGTTTTTTGGCTGGAGCTACGGATAGTTTGAGGAGGAGAGAGAAGACACTAGTTTCTCAGAAACAAGATAATGTGAGAACGTTTTAACAATTGCTGTTAATAATTCACACATGGTAACATTACAGATGTTTTTAGGCAGTGCTATTATCATTAAAAAAACAAAACCATTTGCATTACTCGAAATAAAATAGGCATTAACTGAAGTAAAACTAAATATAAAAAGCCACGGCAACATTTTTCATTTTTGTTTAGTTTAAGTACTAAAGTAAATAAAACTAAACAATTCAAAACTAAAACTTAGCCTAATTAAAACAATCTTTAATAAAAAATTACAACACAAAACAAAATCACAAGCAATTCAACTAAAATTAAAATGAAAACAGAATAAATTCAAAAAATAAAACACCATTATAAAATAACACCAACAACTATGTTAGTCTATAACTTTGTATTAGTATACTAAAATAACACTGTTTCCAGCTAATACGCTGCCCACAGTGCTGGAAAAACCAGGTCCAACCAGATTAAGGAACATGATAACTGGTTTTTCGTTGGACTACAGTGGTCTACCAGAGCTAATGTTCTGCTGACACATACATTCAGGCCACATATGTGTTTGTGCATTTGGTAAGGCCTCAGAGGGTTTAGGGATTAAAACTGAGCCCCAGATTAGATGGAACAGAGGGAACTCCCTCTCATTATCTAGCATCTCATCCTGTGGTATTTGGGTTGGGGTAGCAGGGGTTAGTAAACTATAGTCCTCCAACTGTGCCTCGACATACAGACACCAAAGTGTCATATGTTATCATTTAATGGCCAAAAGCAACAATCCCTCTAGGGCTTCCTGAGGTTAACTGCTGCGGTCAAGGGCACGATTGATAAATTACATTTGTGATTCTTGTTTATGGTTCATCCTCAACTAAGACTGAAGTTGCACCCATATTCATTTCAATACTGATGTTGTTATTGGTAATAAAAACTATTACATTATTTTTCATTAATTTAAATAAGGCTGAAATAAAATAAAATAGAAATATTAAGTTTAAAAACTTAAACTTACCTTCGTAAGATGCCTAATAAGTAGTGTTTATCTACCTCATCTTGCAACGCGGAAGTAAGCTATTCTGTGAATGTGCGAGACTTCCGATTCATTAGCCGCTCTGTAAACAACAAGAATAACAAGTTGCAGTAAACGGTAAAAGTATATGCGCTACAACCCAGTGTTTTTTTTATAAATACAAGAAACATTAAAAGAATACCAGTAAATACCAGCATCAAGCAGCATAAAGAACTGTTTTGTACAGCTAAAAACAGCTGGAA